GACAAATTGAGCGATTAGGTAGACGCCCAAATCCTCGAGTTTGACTTTTGGCCCAAAATATTTGGACAGAAAATTTTTGCTTCGCGCAGAAAATTAGCTTATAAATAGCTGATAAATCTGGACCAGACAGCAGGCCTATGTAATGATCTTGGATGTGCCCATTTTCCAGCCCATATAGGATTTCCCGGAAAAATGGGGATTTTCATGATTTTCTCAACACAGGAAATTAGATTATAAATCAAAAGATATCTCAGCGTGGTTTTCGAGCCAATTCTGATGACTTGGCCGCCTAGCTTAACGCTCAAATCCGAAAAATCGATTTTGCGCCCAAAATATTTCAGCAGAAAATTTTTGGTTTGCACAGAAAAAAAGCTTATAAAAAGCATGTAATTTCGAGCTATTGACCGAGTCGATTCGAGCACCTTGGCTGCCTGGCTTGACGGAGCTGTCAAAATGGACGATTACAAAACTTGCATTTGGAAGCAAAACAACTAATAACTCTTAAGCCAACAGTCACATACCATCTAACACATGGCGCATGTTGAATAGGCTCAGCCATCTACTTGTTTTTCACCTAAACAATCAGTACATTTTTTAATTTATATCTTCTCATCTTTTTCCTACACATTCTGTAAATGGATGGCTCTTAAATTAAAGATTATCTGTCGTTCTTTCTACATGAGTGTTCTAGAAATATTTGACAACGTTGACGATCGAAAATTCATTACGCATATTCGAGATGAATGTATAATCAACAAATACTTTTCATCCAATTGAAACTATTTTTCCACTTTCCCATCCATTGACTTTCCCACTCCAAAAAAAGGAGAGAGTGAGTTTATTATTCCCTCAGGTGCTGGTGGTTCATTGGCCGTATCAAGAGTACAAACAGTTGGTTGTAAAACAGAAGCACCAGGAATTGGTGTTCGTGTATTTGCATCAGATCGTGGTGTAACCCCAGGCAGCTTCGTGCCCTATTGCAGTATGGCCCATGCTCAATTAAGCTTCCATGGACACCGAGATGCCGTCAAAATGTTCGTCGCAGTTCCAGGTAAACCTTTAAACCAATATCCATATTTCCCCACACAAATACGAAACGATTTTAGCAATATAGCCTGATTTATTTCCTTGCATATAAATATCTTGAAACATCTGCTTTTCAAAACAGATTGAATATTCATTGGGTCGGAGTTATTTTAGTAGACAATGGAAGAAACGCAGAACGTTTCTTTTTTATGAAATAATTGGCTTTCTTGACCTTATTTTCAAGACGTGGATTCAATTTCAACTTGAATTTCAAAATTCCGTATTCTCTGCAGGACATGGAGGACAAAGTGCAGTTTCTGATGGAACTCAGCCCGCGATGCTGGTTTTATCGGGTGGCGAGGGGTACATTGACTTTAGAGTTGGTACGTAAACAAACTAAAATTATCATATGTTACCCGAAAAAAATTAACAATTCAATAGCAATTCAAGTAATTCCAGGCTTGATTCTAACATATATCCTACACTAAGAAAAAAATATATTTTTGCCAAATATCTGTTTACTTGAGAAATATTTATTTCTTCAATACCGTATTTCTCCAGTCGAGTCACTTCCAAGGAATGCTCATCAGGTTTCACTTATAACTATTATATTGCTCTAGAAGATGATCATGTTAGTTATGACTTTGAGTGAACTCCCTCAATAATTATTATCACTAAAAAATTAATTGAAATTCTTCTCTCTAGAAATTCAGAAATTTAAGATAAATGAATAATCATTGGAGGAGTTCAATGTCATTTCAAGGTCATGTGCAACATAGTCATCCTCTAGAGCAACACGATTGGCATAATTGAAAGCTAATCATGCACGCCTGGGAATTACTCGATTGGAGAAATACTATTTTGAAAAAATAAATGTTTTTCTCAAGTAAATGAATATTTGGCAAAAATAACTTTTGTTCTTAGTGTAGTTGTTTCAAGCCTGAAGACAATTTATCTAAGTGTCTAGAAAAACTACTCTTTTCTTAGGGTCAAATAGCCCTCCGACTTACCTCAAGTATTAATTTGATTTGATTCGAGTTGTAGAATCTACACTGTAAAAGGTAGTTAGATATCCTTAAGTTGGATGAATGAATCAAGTCTTTATATCAGTTTGCACATTTTTTAGTGAAACTTCATCCAAGTCGTCAATATTGCCATGAACTAGTCGATTCTTGACAGAATTAAGTCATCGATATTAATCAGATATTAAGTCGGATTTGTCCTCTTGATTCATAATTTTTCTTTGGGTTTTATACCACTCACAAGGAACCCTAGGTAGGTGTCCGCCTCCGATTTCGATGAAACTAATACATGTTATAGAGGAGTTAAAACTAAGGGACACGTATTTTTTCTTATCGGCTAAAACGTGGATTTTGGGGGCGAAACTGTCCCCTGAAGTTAGCCACTTCTTAGGGTGTTTTGTCGTTAGCGTATATAAGGAGAATACTCAGACAAATATTTTGCCATGTAAGAGGAAGCTCATGAAGAATGATGAATATGTGAATTAAAATCATCCCCAGTGGTTGAAATTTAGGGAGTGAACTTCCCCCGCGAAAAATTATTTTTCGAATTAAAAAAAAAACTATTGTTCAGAATTTCATGGAACCAATTCCATTCGAAAAAGCATTCAAAAAGACAAAATACCTTTTTTGCATTTTCTTACAAATTGCAATTTAACGGCGAAAAAATCAATTTCCAGTAATTTTCTTATCTTTCAATTTTCCGCGGTGTAAATCGAAGCTTGTGTGGGATAAAAGGATTAACAGTCAAATTAATAAAATTTTATGAAATCATTCCTATTTGCAACCTAAGGAAAAGATACAAAGTACCTTTTTTTGTTTTTGTTTTCTTCAATCGAAATTCGAACCCATCGAGTAGATTACTAATAATTTGCAAATCGTCAAATCTGTTGCCTATTTATTTTTCATGTAGTTTCTCTCAACGAATCGCCATGACAGCCTTCCCAACATCACAAGCATTTGATGACAATTCGATATGGAAATATGACAATGATTATAGTAATTACTCTAGAATGGGATTCCAAGTAAACATTTCTAATAATGCTATAGTACATAGCATATATTTTTTGCACATATTATGATTTTAGTATCATTTTCCGAATCATCAATATTCTAAATAGGTAATATTAGGGATCATAATTCATACAGAAATGGTATTCACAAGAAAAATGCCACAAACAAAGAGATTTTTTGCACCATGAGCATCGAACTATAGCAATATTGGTACAGCCCTCAATGTCACAGTGGGGATGAGAAGATTGCCCGAAGGCAAAATCGACGGGATTCTCAAACTCATCCGGTTTTTTAACAATATAATCATCGTTAAACCAAGCATGATGAAATAAATTTTGATATCTTGATGAAGATATCTGATTATGGACTAACGATTGTAACTTTATTATATTATTCCTTAAATGTAAATTAATATCATGACCAAGGAGGACAACGGTATCCGAAAAATGACGGACATAATTTTTCCATATTCTAAAACCAAACACATCGAGGGGTTGAATCTTTCCAGTGGTACCTTTCGGTATCAACATAGTTAATAACTCTTTATTTGGAGGTGTTGCTTCTCGTACCGCTTCAGGGCAGTAACCGCTCCACGAATCTATCAGCAGTAGACTTTTAGGACCAACGTTCGGGAAAAATACTTCCTTCAACCAGGTTTTGAAATGCTCTAAAAATTAAGAACATTTTAATGATCGTGATTAATCAAGTCTTGAACATTATCTTACCTGAAGTGAGTTTCCTCGAATTTGAGGCAGTGACAAAAAGATTGCATGGTCTGAAAAGATTCTGCTCCACGATAGGGTCTTAAGTTCCAGAAGGTTCTTTCAAAACTTTCTTTCAAGGAAAAGAGGTGACAATAATTTGCCATCAGCAGACATTGTGGGTTGTATCGTATAACTATGTGTTGTCGAGGTTATCAATTGTACTATACATGCCACTTGTTTTGCGCCTTCTTCACCTAAAGTACGTCCTGAATGAATTTCCAATTGAATACCACTCTGGTCCAAATTATAGATGTTTTCCGGTCCATACGTGTCAGAATAAGGCGGAACTTTATGAAGTAATTCGTCTGATTGTTTCTGTAGAGTTTCTCGATTTTCTAATGTCTTGCGCGTGACAAATTTGTTAATTTTCCGAGATGTGATGCGATGTGCTTTCTTCAAATGATGTAACCACCATGGGGAAGCCGTGAAACGAATGTCTTCAAATCTTATATTTTTCCGAGCTTGCCGAACCCACCTGCGTAGGTCAGTGTCGTGAACAATCAATCCCGCATCAATTGCGTTGTTCATATTATTCAATGTATACTCCGAAATACGCTTCAACTTCCCCATATGTCCCTCCTTTGTTGATTTGGTGTGCCAAACGACGTAACTGTCGACTGGATTTCACCTTTTTGAATAGATTCGAAACTGTTTTCACAGAAAGATTTTGATCGTCTTTGCACTTCTCCAGAATTCTACTGCTCTCCGATTATAGTCAAAACCTACAGATTCCTCATCTTCCGAACAACTTTCAGATGATTCTTTATTATGTGGTTGAAATTCTTAATCTTCAACCGCTATCATTTCTATATCTTTATAAGGCTCTTGAAAATTCAGAGATATTTCTTCCATCATTTCCACACTATTGTATTCCTTCATGGATCGAAGTAAGATCGTTTAGAAAGTATCCACTAATTTGCGTTCCGCATTGTTCACGGGCGTTTCAGCGATGTTTAAAACTTCAAATGTTACCATGAGAAGTCTGATGACGTTGATTGGATTAATGTTCATCATGAAACGGTCATGAAACACAACACTCACTGCTAGACCGTTTTTCTCGACAGATTTTGGTAGACTGATCGTGAATTGCATGAAAGGTGAAAGCCAAAAATACATTTATCCCCATGATTTTATTTTTAAACAATAGGAGTCACATTCCAATTGATATTTTTATTCTGCCGCATACGATCCTGTTGCGGTCCTGCATATCAACATATAAACATCGATGTAGTAAAACCACCTCAATTGTATGTTAATTGTAATTTCTTATACTCTACACAATTTTCGACTTTTCCATGACCACTGGCCAAATTTATCCATTCCTAGTACTACCCCCTCGCACTGCTTCATCAGAACGTTCCACGTATTTACACGTATACGTATACGTACATCGTACACGTATTTCGTTCTCGAAAATGCAGACGATGGCTTTTTCTTTTGCTTCCATATTCAGATTCCAGAAACAAAAAAATGAACGAAGAAGGTACTGCGTATTTTTCTCATTCTGTTGCGAATAGTGATTTTATAAAATTTTAGATTATATTTTTTTCCATTCGAAAAATGATTTTCTAGGAGGGTAGTTGGCCCCCACATTCAATACCCCCGGGGATGAATTTCATTGTTAATCTCATCAGTTCTCACGAGCTTTGTGTTACACCACGAAAATTTTCAAAATTGAAAAATTACAAGAAATTAATTTTTTCGCCATTAAATTGCAATTTGTAAAAAAACACAAAAAATGTATTGTCTTTTTTAATCCTCTTTCGAATGGAATTGGTTCTATGAAATTCCGAGCAATAGTTTGTTTTAAATTCGAAACATAATTTTTTCGTGGGGGTAGCTCACCCCCTAAATTTCAACCCCTGGGGATGATTTTAATTCACATATTCATCATTTATCATGAGCTTCCTCTTACATGGCAACATATTTGTCTGAGTATTCTCTTTATATACGCAAACGACTAAATACCCTGAGAAGTGGCCAACTTCAGAGGACAGTTTTGCCCCCAAAATCCACATATTAGCCAATAAGAACAAATACGTGTTCATTAGTTTTGACTCCTCTATAACATATATAAGTTTCATCAAAATCGAAGGCGGACACCTACCTAGGGTTCCTTGTCAGATAAATTAAGTTCTAATAATAGAGTTATATGGCATGGCGAGTAAGAATTTGTTTTTATTTTGAAATAACATTGGGGGCTGTGATAACTTTCAGCTGAAGAGGCAGAAGACGAGAGTGATGTGGCGACCCACCTCATTGTCTGGCAGTTGGTCAGGTATGCCCCCAGAGAGTTCACGCGTTCCATACGAATATTTACCTAATATTCACTTGTTGGTAATAACAATTTCATTAAAATTAATCGTTGAAGATCATGAAGCTTTTTCCAACAATTAATTGCTATTTGAAATCGATTTATCTGCTGGCGAATGCACAATGCTCGAATGTACTAATCCGATTATCTTAAGCTGAAGAAGTATTATAATACTTGAACGTTGAGCAGATGGAAAAATGGTTCAAGTCGATCTATGGCAACTATTTGTTTATCAAGATGATCTCACGGACGAGTCAGTGTAGGAAAAGCCA